ACTTTTCCATTCCCACCAACCCTCGTGAATTATTCGTGACCAACGCACAACTCGTCTCCACCCCCACCCCACCCCGACCTGATTATTGATTTGCTTTTCAAACGAATTTTAATTTTTCGCAGAATCCATTCTCCCTTAATAGATTTGACTTAATCTGGTATATTAATTAAACCCGTTGATTTAAAAGTCGAAAAGGGATGTTTGATAAGAAGACGTCGTTTATTTTTTAATTCTTTCTTTTATTAAAATATTATTATTTTTTAACACAAATATATAGATTTACATTGAAGATATGCTGGTCCACCAAAAATCTTCCCAAAAATCTCTCACTCTCTGACTATTATTGTTCCAGTCAACGGTTTTCAGCAGTGTGCAAAGTTAGGTGCGTGCAGTACATGTACATGTACCGGCACCTCCCTTATCACACGTACCGTACAGTACGTTGGCCTACTCTCCAGCTACATGTACAGTAGGTTAGAATGTGCTTGGAGTTGTGGCTGGAGCGTGCTCATTTGTTATTGCTTGCCTACACACTACTTTCTACCAGAGACAAGCTGGATGGTGTCGTTTCTGAGCATAATATCTCACAGTAGCCTACAAAAATGAGCACAGAAAGAAATATTACTGAACAATCTGTGTACAAGGCGCACAAACTCTGGATTTGGATCGTCTTGGTAGTAATGATTTTAGCCAATCGCACATCAGCAATAATTTTGTGCGAACAGGTCTCTTTTCCGTGCTCCCGAAGCCAAAATGGTGAGAAATCTGTCTTGAACGTAAAAAATCTGTGCCCATCACCCTATTGTTCGTTAAAGTGTAATTGCACTAATGCGATTTGCACAATCCTAAACATATCCACTCTTTATATTTGAGTTTATTTGATTAAATCTTACTCGCGTTAAGGCAAGAAAGTGGTTTATATAATGGAACGTATCTGTTTAGACAGACATGGTTTCCTTGCTTTTAGGGTCGGGTGAGAACCAAAACAGTCAAAAAGGCTGCACGAGTGATCATCGAGAAGTACTACACTCGTCTGACACTCGATTTCCACACAAACAAGAGGATATGTGAAGAAATTGCAATTATCCCAAGCAAACCTTTGAGAAACAAGATTGCCGGGTAAGTGAACTGAAAACTGTAGTGAAGAAGGCTTAAGTTGAGGCATGAAAAACTTGGTAACAGGCCTAAGTAATTGTCAAATATTAGAAAACTAAACAGTTTATAATACAGGAATATCACAGTCAAGTTCTATTCCAATGGTTGAATACCGAATTCAAAGCAATTATTACGGTTTTCAACGTTTTCACAATCACAGTCGACCTTCCGCATGCTCCGTGAGTGTGAACGTAAGGTTGACTGAAAACACTTAACAGTTTCTAGGACATGAATCTTTTTGTATGGAATTCACGTTTTTTTACACTGCCCCACAGCATATATGATAAAATCCACAAATTCCGGTGAGGTGTTTGGTCCCAAGAAAAATCTTTTCTATAGTTTTTTCTAAACCTAGGCTCATATCTGGTTTCATCTAATCTGCTCAAATTGAGTGGGGGTTTAAAAGGTCATGGGTAACATCTCTTTTAAATTCAGATAAATGAGACATGGGAGTCTTAATATTTTGTCAGTAACATAGAGCTTCTTTATTAAATTGTACATAGTCTAAAACATCTAATGGAAGTGCAGGGACCAATAGAGCTGTAATTTGTAAGTAGGACAAAATTGCCTAATTTAAGCATAAAATCATGGATGAAATTCCTTAAATTTATGGAATGATTTTCAGTATTATTTTGTTACCAGGTTTGTGACCCATTTGATGAAGCGTATTCAGAGGGGCCCTGTCCGTGGTATCTCCATCAAGCTGCAAGAAGAGGAGAGAGAGAGGAGGGACAACTATGTACCAGAGGTATGTCATACATTACAAGGGTTTCCCCAGCAAAGTGTCCAGCAGTCATTTGGATGGCCACCAGCATCACTGAAAGGTCTATATAATCAAAGACTGCTGGGAGGCTTATGGATTTTTTTGATTTTTGAAATACGATGGCTTTAGGCATACTTGGACTCCCCAAAATTGTGTAGGAAATTACAGGTGGTAATTTTGGGTGGCCTGCACCCCCCAGTTCTGGGAAAAGCCCTGATGACACATCACGGTCATTTTTGTTAAGAGAGTGAAGCAAAATGTTTACCAGATAATTGATAAATCATATGAACCACATTTATGTGGATTAATGTTCTCTTATTCATTACATAACTAAACATTGTATTTCTCATTAACGGTTGCATTGGAAATCATATTGACAAAATTATGCTCTGTTTGTTAGAAAGAATTACTTGCTTTGCAGTTTTGTTCAATGGTTTATGTATCATTTTTAAGTACCCTTGAAACATAGAGTCAAATTGTACTATTTCATAAATTTCATTAAATTTGTTTGGTAATGACTTAGCAATAGAGACACAAGATCTTCATTTCAAATGTGAAAGTAAAAATGGCAAGCATTATTACATAACTCATTTCTAAAACTGGCTAAAAGTTAGTATCCCAAAAGAAAGTACACTTAAGAGGAACCAATTCTTAATTCTCAATCCTAGTATTGCACACTGAACTATACTGTTAGTTATAATGGCACCACTTTCTCTGGTTTCCAGATTTCAGCAATTGAGCAAGATCCTCTTGAGGTTGACCCAGACACTAAAGAAATGTTGAAGATGTTGGTAGGTGTCTGATTGTCATTTTTAATGGAAATCTGTACTTAAGGTGTTAACCATTTGATGACCCGATTCTCTTGTGGTGTAGCATACTATTCAGTTTTTTTAAGAGCAGTTTTCACTGTATCTTCATCTAAATAATGTCAGGTTAATTGGGGTTGGATAATTCATTGATAAGAAGAATACCATAGTACTACACTGTCAATTACAGTAGCTATAAAAAATTCACTAAGTGTGATCATGTGCTAGTTACTTTTTTTTTTTTATCTAATTTATCTATTTTGTTCAATTATATTTGAATATATTTAGAAACAAATTACGTTTTAAAATTTAAATGTTTACTTCCAGGACTTTGGAAACATCCCCAACCTGCAAGTTATGCAGCCCATTTCAGCAGCCACTGGCTACAGGCAGCCACGTCAATAAACTCTGGACATTTTGTACAAAGTATCATACTTTAAAAAAAGAAAAAATAAACAAGTGAATGTGAGGAACATATAATTTTGCAGTTTGTTTTCTAAATGTCTGAAAAAAAAGTGAATGGATACAGTGATTGAAATGATACCAAGGTTAAAAACACCGACACCTCGCGAAAAATTCATGAAAACTGCTCGGAAGAGTCCCAAGTGAAGTTGTGTGATTTTCGAGGTTCAAAGATAAAGTTGCAAGAGTAAATACCTTGTAACATGAGTAACATTATTTCTACCAGTTTTTTAAACAACATGAATAAAATACAAATGCCTCAAAACCAACATTAATCTCAGGCAGCAGAAAAGTGACTTAAAAACAAACCTTCCTCTTAATTTCTGGCCCTAAATTTGACATACGTTTTCCACCCATTTAGTACAGTGCATTTAGTATTTTTGGAAAATTGCAATTAATATAGGGATTTCAATGTTTTTTTTTTTTTTTGCTTTTTGATACACTATGCATTTAACGTGGTTATAAGTGGCAATGATTTAGCATAAGTACTCATCATTGCATCTTGAAGTAGTTGCTGATAAAAAGCATTTATAACTTGTGAAGTGAAGAATGCTGGGGTCCTTCACTGACATCTGTATCATCACACATTGCTGTGAAGAGAAACATAGAACACCGATAAAATAATGCATATTTCCACCATATTCCACTACTGGAAACGAGTCATTTGAATTTAAGATTTGTGCAAGTACTCCTTAAATGTGAAAGTTGTACATCTTTTCACATTTGATCTCAATTCATTACCTACGACATGCACTCTGTTTATTGAATAGAATACAATAATTGCCAAGTCTGAGCAGTTGTGGTTGCTACAGCTTCAGAATTTTAGTAATCAATAATATTGAAAGAGCATTAGATTGATGATTAATTCAAGTGGGAAAGTACAAAATGCATATCCCCAGTTCAGAAATATCAGCAAATATCTTCTGTCAAATCAATTTCCATGTGGTATCTTTTATCCCCCAAAAACTAGTACCAAAGAACACTAGATTGTACAGTTTTGGAAACAGTGGCTGCTTCAAAGTTATTTAACATAACCAAAAAACTTGACATGAAATTTTACTGTGTGCAAGATATGAAAAGACTTTATTGCATACTGAACACACTGACTAACGTCATAATTATTATTATTTTTTGCAGTAACATCAACTGCTGTAACAGAACTGTCACAAGTACAGCTAGTCTTAAGATATGTTTGTTATAATGCGTTGAACATGGTCAGAGATGTAATCTCTAGAAAAAATGCACACACCAGATCTGTATACAACACTAATACCAATAATATAAGTAAAATTGTAATATCATTTTGAATAATAGATGTAGCTAGAAGACATGATGATATCGTAAAAAAGTACAAAATGTAAAAAGAAAGAAAAGTATCTGGTGGTCTAAATTCTTGTTTCTTCAAGATGACAATAAAAGGATTCGATTCTTGGCATTTATATTAGATATGGTAATAAACTAAAATTGGTAATACTCTCAATTTCAACTAACTGTTCGGAAGTCTTCAACATACCGGTAGGTACAAAATCTTTATTTGACATTGCCCAACTGAGCAAATATAATTGCAACTGATTAGCCAAAATCTGATAAAGCAACCCTTACATGATAACCATTACATTTTACATCGCTGCCCAGTTCCAAAAAAATGCAATGCTTCAATTTACACCCAATATTGGTTATCTTTCAGTACTGGATTTGTAATTCTGCACTGTTTCAGTATTTCAGGGTCTACCATATCCCAATCAAAAGTCATCTGGCTTTGACTATCAGTTGTTAGGGACGCAATGCTGCCCTCTGGTGTCTTAAGCTTGACCTGTTCTTCCAAATTAATCAAAGGTGTGACCTTGACCTCTGGAACTGCCCTACTGACCTCTGTCCTTGAAGGATCTGGTGACCTTGGAGGTGACCTGTGACTGCAGCTGGCCATTAAATGACTTTGTGGTAGTTCATCCATGCTTTGACTTTGTGACCAACGTTGCGGTTCAATTGTCACATGTGACTGGGACAGGGGGGTCTGCGAGTCCTCTCTTTGTGGCTGAAAGGTCCCCCTCTTTCTTTGGTCATACTTATACTTGCAAACAGCAATCCCTATCATTAATAACACTAATGTAACCACTACAGCTAAGACGAGTGTTATGACCCATGCAGTTGGGGGAAGTCCACTAATATCCGACTCCCTGGCTGCTTTGTCTATTGACACACTGTCAGAGTTGCTATTATTTTTTCTTTCAGCATCTCCTATGTCTATTTGATCAAACATAGTGCTTTGATCTGCACCCCTTTCTTTCTCCAAACCTGGACTTTGTGTCATGGCCCCAGTTGTTAGTAATGGTGGCTGAAGCTTTATGATAACCTCCCCTTCAGCAGGCTGAACATTGGGAGCTGTCAATCTGTATCCAAATTTGTCATGGATTAGGCCATTGGTTGGGACATGCACTAAATCAGCTTCATAATACACACTATTTTTAATAATGTCATCATGAGTGAAGGTAAAACTACCATCCACAGACTGTGTTGACCTTTTAATAATAGTCTTCTTCAATTTACCAAACACTGGCCGTTTTATCACATAATATACTGGATTGCTGTTAGTAGCTATTGCTAATGCTGTTGCATTCAGTTCTGACAGTGAAATCGGCACCCTTGAACCTGACGGAATGCTGACGTTGCCCTGCTTGACAAAGGGCTGAATAGATACACTCATTGGAACCATGATATGGTGATCAGCAATTGTTGCATTCAGAACAAACGAGTCTTGACCCGCAGTCATGTCGGTCTGGATATACACAACCTGAGACTCTACCAGACTGTGATGTGAAAACTGCTCGACTGTTTTATCTTCTATGAACAGTTTTCCAAATTGTGGTGGCTCAGATATGAAAAACGCGATGTCCTCCTGCAGCCCGTTAGTGGAGATATTCAAATGTGACTGGTTTAAATGCACAGCAGACTGACTCTGCAACAACTGCAGTCCAGAACTGCTGACAACGTCTAATGTGAGAGGGATCACATTGATTGTGAACACTTTATAATAAGGGTCAAACTGACCATCTGATACTTTAAAATTAAAAGTGCCTGAAGCTCTGGTCCCATCCTGTACAAATATCAATCGGAGTTGATTGATATCCTTCTGTGTGAAAGAACTGATAGCAAGTTTAGGGGCATTAGCAAAGGCCACAATTCCATTAGTTGGCCCTGTGAGTATAGTGTATGTAAGGTTCTCTGGAGGAGAGTCAAGATCTGTAGTCTTCAGATGCTGCGGAGTAATGTTAATTGTAAATCCCTGAATCACCTCTATTGTTGGATGTTTTGTTACAATCCTAAATGGCTGATCATTCACTGGTATGATTGTGATGTTAACAGTGGCATTGAACTTTGGTGAAGTCATCTTGGACCCTAGACCTGTGACCTTAAGGCTGAAGTCAAAGCTGTCCCAGTGTGCATCTGAGTGATCATTCACATATTTAAAGCGGTTATTTTTGATTTCCTTCTCCAGGAAATATGCACCTGCAGTAGCATTCAGATCATTAATCAACAAGTATCCATGGCTGGGAAATTTTGTGATGAAAAATTTCAAAACTGCACTTCGGCTGATTGACTTTATCTTTTCAGTTAATCTAGAAACATCTAAATGATTTTCATTAAATGTAATTTGCCCGCCCTCAAGAACTTTAACTTCTGACATTTTAACAAGTTGGTCCTGATTCTTGGCATTGATATTGTCATAAGAGATTGAAATTTCCAGTCTCTCAGTGACTGATGCAGCATACAGAGTGCTCAATTCGTATGTGAAGGTATCATCTATTGACCACTGACTTAAAGCCTGCATGTGTTGATATGCTATCTCACCAGCATTCACCTCAGCCTGAGTAAAGGACGACACTTCTAAATTGCTACCATTCACAGTAGTCACCAATTTCCCATACCTAGGCCTAGTTTTCAAAGTGTACACCAGGGGGCGTGTCTGGTTGGCGTCATTTGTACTGGCATTGAGCACTGCCACTGTGACTGGGTGCAGAGTGCCTGGGTAAACATCTAGCTTTGCATCAGTGTTATGATGAAGTACCAGTGGGCTTGCAGTAATGCGGAAAATCTCTCTGTCTGAGTAGTTGATGCCATCATTCACCTGGAAATGGAAGCTCCCTGAAGCATCACCTGAAAGATAATCATTCACTTTAAGTGACGCAGCTCAAAAATATCAATAATATAATGCCATTATCTGAGTTAAAAGCCTACAGCTGTTCCAGTTGTCACTCAAATCCATGTTATCTATCACGGATTCATTCCACAAAAAATGTGAACATTTTGGTCATGTCTGTAATGCACACATTGCATGTAGAACTTGCATACTTGTTTAATGTCACTTTTTAATTGATGTCCATTTCGTCCCTATTGGAGGGCGCTGTAGTATATATAAAACAGCCAACAATGGGTATACTAATGTAACACAAAATGTTTGCATAACCAATGTGACAGAAGTGTTAAATTCCCAGTGGGATGAACCCATAATTTTCCATTATATTTACACACAAAAGCTGATGAAACTCTTGCCCAGAATACTGCTTCTTATTAAATAGGGATGTGAACAGGGGAGTTCAGGAAAAATAAGGCAACCCCCTCTCCTCCTTTACAACACTGGATCAGCACTAATTTTACAATAACTGTTTTGATGGGTTACAATCATATATCCCCACACTCCACAACAATGTCCCCAGATTTCACAACAATGTCATGTACAGCAGGCACAGCTCTTGTGATAGATTTATCAATCCCTCAAGTTTCAATTTTCTCGATTTAATATTTCAGGAGACAGTGGTACAAAAGAGGTGCTAGAATTTGCATATGAGGCAGTGGCAACTTGTCTGAAACAGCCACACCCCTAAAGTTATGAAAGTCTTTTTTTGATTCAAAATGCATTACTAGCAATTATTGTTGCATGTAAGATTCATTTCTATTAAACCCATGAAAAAAAAAAAAAGAAAGAAAGAAAACTGTATCTCCATGAATATCTATGCCACTGCCTGAGTCTTAACTTTTGATTATTAACCTCATAAAAACATCATGCAAAAAATCTTCCTGCATGCATGTCTTTTTTTTTTTTTTTTAGTTTGGGTGAAAATTACAATACCTGATTTACAGAGTAGTAGTAGTAACAGGCACTATCCTACAAAGATACTTGGACAAATAATATGTTAAGAAATGATATGCTGATTAGTGTTTGTCCTTTCAAGTCTTTCAGAGCCTATTTTACAGGTAAGAGGGTTACAATCACTACTGAAACTCGAGGACTCTTTCAACCTGATAGGTCTGCATTAATGCTGAATGTCACAAATCTTAACTTGTCACAAACAAGCTCAGCTAAATGCAACAAAACACTTTATTTGACCCGTACCTGACTACACATTTTGGCACAGACAGTACTGTGCACGTACTTCTTTAACAGCTGCATCTCTAATTAAAACTTATTCTCAATTCTCAAACAAAACTCACCACTGTGGACAAACACAAGCTGATTGCTGTCCAGCATAGCTTGTGTAAACTGTACAATCTCATCTCCAGTCTTTTCCTTTAAGGCCACATACCCACAATCTGGACTGGTGATTTTATAACGAAGGTCTCCAGGCAGGGTGTCTTGGTCAGTGGCACTAAGATGGGCACTGGTCAGCAATGTAATAGACCCTTTCCACACATGCAGATCTTTATTGGTCACTATCTGGGGGACTTGGTCATTTACTGGTATCAGGGTGATATATATGGTATGGGGTTTGCTCTGTTTGCCAGACCCCATGGCTCTAGCCAGGACGGTGAACTCATCAGTGTAGAATTCCTCTCCATTGTGTGTATAATATATGAACTCGTTATGAATATCCTGGGAGCTAAATTGGTCTAATTGAACGCCTTGTGCCTGAGTTCTCTCTATCCAACCATAGTAAGGCTGCTGTGTAATCTCGTACTCGAAATTGTCATCTTTGAAATGTTTGTTTGTCACCTGTATGTACTGCTTTGTTAAGGCTTTTGTCCCTCCCTCTTTCAGTGTTATATTGGTAACACTGACAGGGAGTACCTCTGGAATGATGTCAATGACAAACTCCAAACCCTGTAATGTAAGCACCCCATTAGACACATTAAATGTTATAACATCTTCAACTACACCAGGCTCAGTGTGAACATATGCCAACTTTCCAGAATCTATATCTCCCTGAGTGAAATTGTGAACATTTAACTGCGAATCCAGATCCAGATGACCAAACTTGGGCCCATCTTGGATGGTGAACAAAATGCCCTCTGGTGGCGTAATGGAATGTGTGACAAGTAGAATGTTGTCACTTATAACTCCAGTGTGTCCCTCCTCCACAACCAGCATCTTGTTATGCTGAAACTTTGGTGGATGATGATGGTCCTCCAAAAACACTGTAATGTTGCAGGTGCCCTGAATGCTCACATCTTTGACGTGTATAGCAAACTTGAAGGAGTCTTTAATGTGTCCACTGTTACCATGTTCATACTTAACATGCCCTCTTTTTACATCTTGCATATTGAATTCCGAGGAGATATGTTCTCTTCTTAAAATTTTACCATATCTTGGAGCAGATATAATGATAATTCGAATCTCATTATCTGCAGCATTAATATTGGTTTCAATGCTAAGGTTATCAGACCGCAGGGCAACACTTTTACCTTTGAAAACAGCCAGCCCTGTGTTGTTTATTAGTTTGATGTATGGGTCAGATGCATGAATTGTCATAAGTCCAATATCATGAAACTGGCCATCTGTTACCTTAATGGATATCCGAGCATATTCTTTTCCTTTGTGGACAAACATCAACTGACCAGTTTCCAGGTCTTTTTGAGTGAAATGATAAACTTTGAGAGTGGGATCAGTAGAATTCACTATCTCTCCATTTGAAATTCCACGCCTTGTGTACTGCAAGTTGCTAGTGTCAAAATTAATATCTGGATCTGTATATTTTATGTCCTCATCTGTAAATGGCCTGATCCCATTCCTAACAATATTGAATACTTTGTCCACTACCCTTACTGGTGGGTTGTCATTGCGAAGGAGAATTTTTATATGAAATGTGTCAGTGTATTCCACAATCTCCATTTCCAGCTTGTCTTCTGATGATGGCCCAATAATGGGTGTGGCCATGAAGTCAAAACTGTCAAATTCGTACTCTGAGTCATCATGTTTGTACACTACATTGCCTTCTCTTATGTCTGCATTACTGAACTGGGAAATATTGTTGCTGATGACGGTGTCACTTTCTGAGTTAATAAGCTGCAAAATGCCATGATTGGGAAATGTAAGCAGAGTAAATTTAAACTCTGAAATCTGATCAGTTTCCAGGTAAAAATAGTCTCTAGTAATCACTTTTCTTCCGCCTTCTAAAACATCTTTCAGCAGTCTGTTAGTAAACAAAATATCACTTTCAACAGGTATAAATTCAATCTCAAATGTAAAAGCAGTAGACTGAATGCTGCCTGCATCCTTGAACTGCAGCCTAAACTGAAAGTTGTCATTAACAACATTATCCGATGTCCTGTGCAGCTTATATAAGATGAGGCCATCATTGATATCTTTTTGGGTAAAATTTGAGCTTTGCCCTAGTCTTTGCTGATACTCATTACTGTTGCTGTTCTTTAATTTGAGCAGGTGCCCTTGTCTTGGTGTGGTTATAAGCTTGTACATTACAGCATCAGGGAGGGCATTAGGATTGTTCGTTGAAGCACTCAGGTGAGATTTGTTAAGCTCCATTTCCATCACACCTTCTAATTGAAGCTTTGTGTTTTTGTTCAGCTGCAGCTGCACCTGATCAAAGGTAATGTGAAACTGTCTGGATTGAATGCTAGCACCTTGGGTTGAGGCAGTGAAGACAAACATGTCAGGAATAACATGTAAAGCTCTGCCTGTGTGGAAATACCTCAGCCTGCCCCTGTCAATATGCTTCTGAGAAAAAATGCTGACAGGAAACCATTCTTTTGTGCTAGATTTTTGCTTCTGAATTTCACCATATTTTGGAGACTTGGTAATTTCATATCTGACATCAATGTCTTGGCGCTGAATATTTGTGGCAGTGGTGAGATTCTCTGGAAGAATTAAAGAATAACTGGTGGGGAATACATTCACACCAGTATTGTGGGTCACTGACAGTTCAATAGGGATGGTAACAAAAGTTATCATCTTCCTAACACTACTGTCCTTTCCATCATTAACCTGAACATTAACTCTGGTCTTTTGTTCTCCCTGATTAACAAAAAACACTTTTCTGTCAGCGACTTCCTTTTGAGTGAAGGCTGTGACACTTTCACCTGGTTTCTGAGCCAATTCAAAGTGACTGGCAACCACATGTTCAGGACCCTCAAAGGCCACAGTGTAAGTAATCTGGTCTGGATTGCTGTCTGGGTCAACCACATTTAATGACTCTTGACTCAGGGGTGTCTTGGTATGTTTAAGAACACCGACAGTCCCCCCTGGTGGGAGTTTTAAAATAGGCGGATCATTAACAGGCTGAACCTGAATCCTTAGTGTAAAACGATATGGTTTTTTGAGTATCTCAGGGAGGTCACTGTCTGCTCCCCCTAAAAGTTCAACAGCAAATGTCACTTGGTCTGAATTTTCTTCCGATCCATCATTTATATACAGCACCTTTCCAATAGTCAGATCTAGTAGAGTAAATAAGCTGTTCTCTGACCGGCTTCTCACTCTTACGTCCAACTCTCCATGCTTAGGTGGCTCAACAACATGGAAAAATATTGCAGAATCCCTCATTCCATATGCCCTGTAGTTGAACACAAAATCCACATTGTTTTCTGTGATCACCTCTGACCCTCCCTCCCTTACAACAAGTGGGTGTAAGCGCACCAGGTCTACAGTAGGTAAGACAGTGGCATCCGCAGGTAGCATGTAGTCTGTTGCGGTTTTCAGGTCTTTTATGACACATTCAAACTGTGTGTAACTATGCTCTACGCACACTGACCCTTCATCACAAGGAGACGAGGAGCAAGGAAAAGTCCAAGCACAGCCTGGGGTTATGAGATGTGTGATCTGCGCTGAAAGAAGTCCCATGGCTTTGCCATCAATTTTTACATCTTTTATGCAACCCTGTAAGGAAATTCCAGCAATATTTTTTGGTAAGTTCTTTAATGAGTCAATGCCCAGGTTGGCGGCAATTGTGGTCATCTTGGAACTAAGCCCACCAATGAACCACATGGAAGAAAGATCTAAAGAGCTCTGTTCTTTAGAGGTAAAATAATGCTGCTTGTGTTCTGTTTCAGTTTCCAACTCCATGTGAAGTGCAGAAATTTTGAGACTGATGTAGTGTTTATTTCCATCACTCAAAATAATTTTAGTAGAAACACTTTTCACTTTGCCATTTCTTTTTGTAGACAATGTCAGTAATCCATTGTTCAGTTCTAATAAAATGAAATTTGACTTGAGCTTTCTTCCTAAGATAAAGAGTACTATTCCAGTTTTAGATCTAGTCCTTAGATTGCACGAAAATGTAATTTCATTTTGAGAACTCTGCACAAAAAATCCAACATATGAGGTCTTGTCTGTAAAACTGATTGCTTGTTTAGGTTCAGAGTTAAATTCTCTGCTGCAGTGGGACTGTACATCCTTGGTGATTTTCTTGTTCCCCTTGCTATGTCTTACAATATCTAGAATACTGTAGGTATTGAAATGAATATGTTTTAGACACCCCCTGTATCCAAGAAGATTGTGAGTGTAGTATAAGCCACCAGTATCACTGACACCTCCAACATATACACCATCATCAATGTTAAGTTCATAAAACTTCCCTGGAATTCTCCTTCTTGTCTCATAGATGTAATCTACAGTGAGTTGCACGCTACCCCCCTTTCTTTTTAAGTTGACCACATGCCACGCCAGATCATTCAGATATAGTCCTGGAGGGGATTCTACAACAGTTTCTCCAGATCCCAACTCTATGCGGACCTGGATGGTTCCCGACTTCAGTTCAATGATGCAGTAATCTGTGCTCCCTGCTGCCACAAACAGGACACCATTGGCAACACTGGTGCGGAACTCAAGGCGGACATTAGTGGTGCTTCCAGCATCGCGGAACGGAACATGGAGGAAATCATTTCCGTATAAAGAAACTGAAAGCAAAAAAGAGACACTGTTAAATTTCTAATCAATTTGTCATTCAATCAATTAAAATGTTCAATGCTCATTTAAAATGCACATTCCATAATGTATGCAGTTTCTACAATTTCTTATCTATAGCAAAACACACCAGGTATCTCTGTGAAATCACCAAAATACCTGCTACCTTAATAATATGATTCCTAGCAATATAAGTTTACAGAACTTTTATAGTCAAACCTGTAAGGAACCCATTATTCTTATTTTATAATGAGTAGGAAAAAATGTAAAATAACTTTTTGCCTATTTGCATTCATTAATATAATAGTGAATATAAGGGTGCAAAAGTTTTACCCAGAAAATGTTGCTACATATCTGGGAAGTTTGTTATTCCTAACCTCACATTGAACTTATCAACAGAAATTCCCATACTAATAGGAAGAAGATGGAGATAATTAAGTTTGCAGTTTGAAAGATATAGAGACATTTTTATCTTTCAAAGAAAATGCCCAGGTTGGTCTTCAGAAATCAAATGTGACTTTCAATTCACTCACCTGCCCAAGATACAGAAATAATCAGACAGGAATTTTAGAGCCTTTTTTTATGATAAATTACTTCCTGTGTTCACACTAGCTTATTTACTGTAACATTAATAAGGAATTACACAATGTGACACATAACATTAAACAGGGAATGGCTGTGAGGGGGGGCTTATTACAGCAGTAGATTTTTACTTGTGGGGTCTCTGCCTCTGGCCTCAGGAGTCACTGCCTGTTCCATATACACAATCATAGATACAGTAGTCATCTTATCCCTTTCTCCTTCTCCTTCTTACATGATCTACTATACTGGCATTTTTGTTTATTACCTGATGGAGCTCACTGGTCTATGATTCAAACCACACATTGCTCCAGTTAATCAGCGGCATTAAAAGATGAAAGTTTTAATAAGAGCTCTCTAATTTCCTTTAAATGTAGCATACCATCTGTTATAAAAAGCAGGGTCAAGTGCAAGTCAGCCAAACAAAACTAATATATCCTGAGGGAAAATCTATATTGTGTCATGCTATTTGCTCTACAAGTGCCATGGAAATCAATTTGTTCACATGCAACATGTTAAATACATTTTTATGGGAATATATCCTGTTTTGCCCCTTCTTGCTGTGTGATGATTTAAATGAATTTTGTTCCATCATTCTTTCCTGGTAACTGAAATTGCTCCCATGTGTCTTTATTGGTTATAATGTTAAAGAAAAGCTCACATACATAAAATGCATGTCCATAACAAGTAAGCTTGCCCTCAAGTCAGATTTGCATTCAATGGAAAATCCTCCACTGAATCAATGTTTTATTGAATGCATCTTGTTAAGGAAAAGGTTAAATGAAATTGATCTTCTAGATTTTGAGGAAAATAGCTATATTTCACATTTTTTCCAATCTGTGTCAAAAGTTTTTCTATTAAATTAGGACTTTCAACCAAGCCACCTTTATGCTGTAATAAAAAGTTACAAAACTTCAATCCTTGGCTGCCATTCATTATAAACAAGCACATCAGTTGCTCTCAATTCACAGCAAAGCAAGCTCAGTTTTGCAAGGTAACCAAAATGGCTATGATAAACCACTTCTACTAGTTCCTAATGAAGATGGAAATGCCAAGGGATAATTAATCACTCCGTCAGTCATAAAAAAGTTTAAATTAAAACTGCACCTTCACCAAATTTCTGGTCGTAATTTAGCATATTTATCCGTCTCTCCAGTTTGTAAAAGTCTGTTAAATAACAAAGTACTGTGCATGCATTGCATATGGCTGGGGCTGTGGGTGCATACTTATTCAAGTGACCTGCCGAAAAAGACAGGGTTATATCTAGCACAGAAAGAAAGCAGAAATTTTCTATAAGGCTGTAAGGGGGTAATTAACTTCCATGCGCGGTGGCTGACAGCAATTTAGCATGAACCCCCAGGGAGTTAGGTTGATCTAGTTGGATCGATCTAAATCTCTGGGAATGCACTCTTAAACACAATTGTTCCCCAAAGAAAATGTGACAGCTAATTAGAGTAGTCTAACCCATTCAGCAAGTACACATGCACAGGTTTGTTTTGTCTGAACTGTCAAATAACTGAAAGGGTTCACAGTAAAATTCTGCAAGCTTCCAATTTCTTGTTGCTTTCAAGCTGGGGAAACCTATAAACCTTCAACTAAATGTCAAATAAATACAAGTTGCCCTTTATGATGAACAGTAAGACCAGATATAAGAAAGTGTGGATAACTTATTCAATCTGTGATCTACCAAGATATTTGTTATTTTCAAGAAGTAAATATATCTAAAGTACTATACATGGTAGGATTAAAGGAATAAGTATAAAAATAAAAGTATTGATGTTCTCCCACTTTCTTTCATGGACTGAAATGCAACAATAAGCTTTTTCTAAGCAAAAGATAAAAAAGCTACAAGGAAAAAAACCTCTAAGACACAGACCTAAAAATTGCTACAAGGAAAAAAAAACTATCATCTTGTCGTTTCAACTTTCTTTCCTCACCATGTTAGCTTCTTTTTTTAATAAAATACAAAAATTTATTTACGTTATCCACCCATCTGATGTCCAAATGCTCATGGACAATATGGTGATGATATCAAGTATAGGAGTAAGATAAATGTGAATCCCGTTTTATAACGTAATTAAAATATTTAGTTGCTGACTACTGTATAATATTTACACAGTTGCAGAGTATTACTCACTCATTCTCAATATATAGGCCCATTTAACATTTTTTTTATATTATTAAAAGTTAGCGAGTTGAAGAATTATTTGTCCAAGTTGAAGTTTAATTACATCAGTCTAGCATATAAAAATAATAATTACTATCTGTTTTCACACAAAAATCATAGACGGACTCAATTAAAAACCTTCTCAACACCATTTCACATTCTCCAATTGATCTAGTTTATTTTACTATTTAAAGTAGAACATCTGCCATTTGTTAAGAAGTGAATAATGTCTAACATCTCAGGAAATGTTTAGAATGTTAATTCATTAAAAAGGTTTTGTCTACTTTTGCAGTGTCACTAGGTTTTTAGAAATTGAAACAAGGCAGCAAAGCTGTCAAATGTACAGACAAAGAACAGAAAATAAAGATGCAAATAAGTGAAAAATTAAATTTTCACAAAAAACTGTTAAATTGCCAGAAAAATTTACCAAACAGACTGCGTTGCCTATTGAAGCTGTATGTTAGACCCATGTTTCTTTCCTGTAAGTTTGAGAACAGTAAGTGACATGATTTCCCTTAAATGGTCATTNCACTTCATACAGGTAATTGATTGGCCCAGCTCAGCTGTGTACAGTACAAATATAGCCTTAACACTAATTGGCAATAATGCTAACCAGGTATTAAAGAGGTAGGTGACAGCCGATAAAATCTAGAGAGCACCGTAACTGATAACAAATTACACCCAAGGCAATAGGTGAGTCTTCATTATAAAAGTCGAAACCCTGCCTGGGTATTTCCACACGTTTTAACAAATTAACACACTCTCGGAGTCTCCACCCAAACTTATTGGGCACTACTTTAAATAAATATGCAGTGTACGTGTGCCCCAAACGTACACACCTAGGTCTTTGGTTTTGTACTGTTTTTTCTTTTATGGTAAAATCTGCACAGCTGGCTCTTCATTCTTTGCTATAAAATAGATTAGTTTTATTCCTTTACTTTTCAAAGCCACCTCGCCGTCTCTCCTCCGTTTATGGTTTTAGTTCCTTCATCATGGATTGTTACCACTGCAGACAAGTGTGAACGCTTGTAAAGTTAGTTATCTTTTCTCGATCAAATAACCTGCAGTAATTAATCATTTTGCTCGGTTAATTATCAAAGGAAATACAGAAAACGAAAAATGAACTACTGACATGGCTTGTTCATGCGCAGCAGACGATTCCGGTCTCCCTCCAGAATGGCTGCTGTTTGTTTTGATGACGCAGGCTCTAATGGGTCAATACCAAACTCACCTGCACAAGAGACATCCAGCAACGTGAAAAGGAACAAAACGATCGCTGATAAAATCATCCTCGCTGAACACATCTTCATTCGTTGTAGCACCAAAACAGTAGGGAAGATCAGGGGAAATACCCCGGGTAAATGTTCATCACATTCCACCATACATGTTCCGTCACTTCACACACAATTTAACACAAACTTTGTTTGTTCGCGTGAAATCACGCGTGGAGCACTTGTTCCGAAAGACGGCGCACATTGACGAGCCTCTTACAAGACAAGCCAGTCTGAAGTTAGACCCACGTTTTTGCCGTTATGTGTAACATATATTCTTGTTCTATTTTACAGTCGTCAAGCTCGTATATAATAGTTTAATCACGTTCTTGTATACTTATTTTTGACATTAATGAACATTTCGATTTGCATTTTGACGTTCAAACTCACATTTGAACGCTAGCGTGTTAAACTTTGACGTTGACGCCTGTGCAGCTATCAACTTCCGCCAGCTGATGACACAATCCCAGTGCAATATAGATGATGGTAGATCCGTATTTTAAGAACTTTTATTTAATGTCCGCCACCTTTTTTAAAAGTATAGGGACATCACAATGAATGGAGTAAAGTCAATTTACAATCTTATGTTTGGGAGGCATTTATTTTTAACAAACACTATAAGTGCCGGCGTGTTGTTAGGAGCTGGAGATTCCATTGTTCAGACTTTTGAAGGTAGACGGATAAAAAAGAAAGGTGGGGAATGGGCAAGAGACTGGAAAAGAACAGGTTTGTGTTTGGTCCTAAAGTTTCTTTATACAACTGCTGGACCTGAATAAACATGCCTCACAACTTGTGGCCAGTGTTTGGTAGACTACATTTGTATCAGCACAGCAGGACTAGAATTATGAAGTACAGGTGTTATATATTAGTACAGAAGTCCTACCAGTATTAGTTCTGATATGCCACATGCACTGAGCTCTGAATTTGAATAAGTGCAGTCACATTTTCTGACATGTCCCTTTTCATATTTTTGGGGAATGGTCATCTTGTTCCCATTGAAGGACTCTGTGAACATTTATTGGGCCCTTTTACTAAAAGACATAATTAAATTTGGAGTTAGCTGAAGTGTGATGGTACATATAGTTACAAACTGTCTTGTATTGGAATGCGAATGCGCTTTTATTAATTGCATGTTTTGAATTTGTCCTGTCTCAGGTCGAATGACAGTGGTTGGATTCTTCTTTGGACCCATGGCCCATAAGTATTATAAATACCTAGATTGGTGGCTTCCAGGCAGAGACTTTAAGACTATTGCACAGAAGATTATGGTGGAGCAAATAATAATGTCACCGGTGTCACTAGTAATTTTTTTTGGCGGTGAGATCAAATTCCTCAAACTAAAATATTTATTTCCTATGCTTTTGTACCCCCTCCTCTTCATTTTCTTGCAGCTTTATATTTTTTACAGGTATGGCAGCTATTTGTCCAGTGCTTTTGGAACCTTTTAGGATCATATTGAAAAAAGAATTGATTGAGGGCTCTAGATTATTTGCCACTGCATTTCAGGTCGTATGGTTACGATTGGGCTAGTCCTGCAAGGCCCAGCCAGTCATGCTTGGTATAGCTTCCTAGACAGAATTCTGAAGGGAACACAATTCAAAACCATTGCAAAGAAAATACTTCTGGACCAAATATTTGCCTCACCTTTTTTTGCTTTTGGCTTTCTTATGGGTAAGCTGAAAGAGGTATCAGAAAAAAATCTGAATAGGTTTTAAAGGGTTATTTATATCAAAATATGCATTGAAATGTTTGTTTTTATTGTGAACATGAAATGGTTTTAACTAGAAATGTTTTGAGATAACCACTTCATGGGGATCATCCAAAATAGCATAAAGTCTTGCAATTTAGCAAAAACTCGATCAAAATGTTGCAAGATTAAGAGGAGAGAGGGGTGAAAAATAGTGGCAGACTAGCTAGTATGGTGCTGCAACAAATTAAAGCTGACAGAACTTATTCATGGATATTTATCTGCTTATACAAATTCACCATGTTTTGTATGCACTTATATGTTGCTTTCTAAGACTTCATTGCTGCTGCATACACAGTTGCAACATTTTCATAAAAATTAACCCAATTTCACCCTGATTCTCACCATTTTTTAGTCTCATATATGACATGGATTTCTAACAGCCTCATTTAAGGCTATTTCAGATGATTTCCATTACCAGTTTTGCACAAAGATTCAATCATTTCTTTTTTTTACTCAAAGACTACTTTCAAGCTAAAGAGCACTTAGTGTTATCACAAATAACTTCTTTTATGTTTAAGTTAATCTAAACAGACATTTTCTTAATCTTAACCCCTTATGACTTTTATAATTCCTAAACCATAACTGTTAAGGTACATGTTAGCATCAATTTTGATAAACCTCACTTCCTAAAAAATTACTAGTCCAAATTATCCCAATATTGATTATTTTCAAATTATTATTATTATTATTATTATCATTATTATTATTATTAATATTGTTATAGGTTTTAGCCATATGTGTTATTTTTGATGCTAAAACGCACTAAAATTTACATGTATATCCTTGACAAAAACTTTTTTTAACACTGTCTGTGTTTATGTTTTGTTTATACCCTTAGCAAGTACAAGTAGTTACCAACATTTTTTACATCTTTATTTTTGGTGTTAAATTTGTGAAAAATGACGTCATCACCTACTACACAACCAAACTCTTTCTTAATGCACATTTTTGTACAAAAGAAATTACTAGTTTCAATATTGACAACACAAAGTTTATAATTGAAAAGAAATGTTTGAAATGTTTAATAGCAATTTAGTTTTTATTATGGTTAAAGCATTGCCTTTCATATTCATTTTTATTATTATCTAGGAATGGGTCTTTTAGAAGGGCAGTCATGGGAGAAGGGCGTACAGGAATTTAAGTCCAAATTTTGGACAGTTTATATGGTGAGATTCCCAATGCTTACAGCAGGAAAATTGATTTAATAGTTGTCCTTGAAGGTCATTATTTGTATAGAAAATATTTTCATGACATTTGACTGTGCTAGAGCACTGACTGCACTACAGAAGTAACTTGAAAAATATTTGTGATTGGTGAAAAAAGATTTTTTCAATAAACATGAAGTGTTTTTAATTGATATATAAAACTGTTTGTTGTACAAGTGAATAAGTGATACACTTGTCGAGCATTGTATGTAAATTCTTTATTTGAGAAATTTAAAAAGGTAAACACTATTTCTATAATGCTCAAATGTTAATTCTACAGAAATATGTATATAAAGATATAGAGTTCTAGATATATAATGATATGTAGTTATGGAATGTCTAAAGCAAGGTTCTATATTCCAGGCTGATTGGACAGTATGGCCAGCTGCTCAGTGCATCAACTTTTACTTTCTACCTCCTAAGCTGAGAGTGATATATGTTAACTTTGTAACATTAGGATGGGATGTATTTTTATCATATATTAAGCACGTAAGTTCATTTCTGGGAATTGTTTTTGTTGAAAGTGTGAAGCAGGAATAATTTAATGTCTAGCATAATTGTTGACTTTTCTGTTGGCATCATTTTTGGTAGATATGACACTTAACAAAATGGTGAAAACTTACCATGGTGTAAGAGTATCATAGATTACTCATTCATGCTCTGCATATTATCAGTTTTATCACCATATTTATTTTAACTATAGTTTATTATTATATGCCAACATTTATGTATGCATTTGTCACCAAATGTTGTTGCTAGTAGTACAATAGCATGCACTTTTCTGTTGGAAAAAAAAATTAACACAGTAATGTAAATTGGGTCAGAAGACTTCTTTTATATGCATTGTGCTTTAATTTTCTCTTTTTAGGAGTTCAAGAAGGATCAGGATTGATGACAGTTCTTAGATTTTGGTTATGTAGGCAAGAAATACCACATCAGGGTGAAAAGTTCTCTACCACCTTAGACCAGAAACTTCCATGTATGACGTTGTTAGGTCCAGAAATATTGAAAATAATTATTTCCTCTTAAATGTTTTAGCATTGAGATAAGTCAATAAATTTTAAACATCTCTGTCTGTATTTGACATTTTGATTTCACTCAAAATGTATACAGATCAGTTACCTGTAGTAATATCCAGGTTACTCATGTAACCTGCAAGCCGCGCATGTATGTATGTATGTATCTCAGATGATTTGTAGTGTCCATAAAGATTTGGTGTGCTATTTATTTAATCAGGGACTTATTGGCATTGTTATTAATGATATTTTATTATAGGGATTTAATAGCTGCAATGTTATAAATTTTGCATATTTTGAAATATATGTAAATGTTTGTTCTTGATGTATTTATTGTTATTCAACAACTTTTATATTTCATGTTGAAATAATGTCTTTGAAACTGAATCGTGCAAATGTGATTTGCCATCACATGAAATGCGCACATAATATATCATATTACATTACAAGAAATATTTGTTCACTTATTGCAAAAAAAAAAACTTTTTTATCTTCTTCATTGTTTATGGAGAACCCACATTTAATCTTTGGAGGAAGAGATGAAGTAACTTGAATGTAATGTACCAGTTATGGTTGTAATTGTTATTCAGTTATTAAAGGTCCACATAGCTATGTTTATTGGATCTTCTAGTCATGCTAGTTTTGCAGTGAACTGAGTGCTAGGCATAAAGAAGGAATTAAAAATCAATTCTGCAACAAAGTCAATTGCATACAACAGTTAGTAGTATTTTAGAACTACTGTAATTATACATTTTATTTTTCATATGATAATAAATAATAGATCTTTAAAATGAGCATTTGTATAACTATTCAAGTACTGGTAGTCTTGTTGCTAATCATTTCTTTCAAAGACTGTTCAAATGAAGCATGTCAACTTGGTTGTTTTGCTTTATGAATGTTCATGTACTTGAATTTCTTTGGATTTATTCCATAAGCTTTTAATCTTTCCTCTGACATTTGATTTTTCTTAAAGTTTGATCCCCTTTTCTTCTTTTTCTCATTTTTTCCATGTTCTGGAACAGGAACAGAAGAACTATTTTGTTTCTTCCTTTTTCTTTTTCGTTTATGCCTGGACTCGGACTCCGTGCTAGTAGTGACACCTACAGCCTCAGAGCTGCCACCACTTGTAGGGTCTATTTTTTGCCTTTTATGATCTAATACTTCCTTAACGTCAACCTTCTCATCGATTTTCCTTTTAACCTTCGGTTCTGTGTTGGCACTAATTTTAGCTACTGTTGTATTTTTGTCCATTTCTTTATCTACATTTTGTTTGCTTTTCTTTTTTGCCCGTTTCTCACTTCTTTTTGAACTATTGTTTTGTGGTGACAACTTAACACCGTCTTCTTCCCCTTTAGGACATTTTTTTGGCCTTTCCCCAAGTTCAGTTTTGTTTTCTAGGAATACTTCTTGACCTTTAAAACTGTTTTTCTTCTTTTTTTGTTTCTTCTCATTGGGCTTTGAAGAACCTTTGTTACTGGATATGGTTGCTGCTGGTTTGGAATCTTCATTCCTAGAAATATGTTCCATGGTAAATATAAATAACATCTATCCCTTAGCAATTGTACTTTAGTTTTGCTTTAACTTTGACACCAGAAGGTAAAATCAAAGACTAACAGATAAATGTCGATACTTACTTTTAGTTTTAACAAAAAAAAATCAACTATACATTACCACAACTTACTTTTCTGTTAAACTTGTCAGAATGCTTAATTTCTTCTGTACATTTTCACCCTTTTTCGTATACACCTTCACGTCATATTTCTCTTCCTCTTCTGTCCTGAATTCAAAGAAATATGGTTTCACCAAAACAAAATGCAAACCTGCACCTCACTTAAACTGTTTCATTACATGAATTTAAATAATTCCCTATAACTGATCAAATCCTTAAAACAGAAGCTAGGTTACAGCTGGAAAGTTATTGGTGACTTCTGGCTAGATGATGGGGAGAGAAGTGTCTGCTTAAAACATTCCAACAAATAATTCTATTGAAAGGAGTTTACATAGTAATCTTATAAAGCTTCCTGTACCAACTGACCTGTACTGATAGGCTTTTTTCAATGACACCCATCTATTCAGCTCCTTATCCCTGGCTGTTAGCACCTAAATATACACAGAAAACCACTGAATGTTTAAATAATGTCTTTGAAACTAAATCATGCAAATGTGTCTTGCCATCACATGAAATGCGCACATAATACCAAAATGCCGTTTTGCTGAGAGACAGTAACTTACTTCAATGACATGATGTCAAGCATCACATAGCAATATCATATTCTAAAATACAAGCTGACTTAGGGTAGGAAAGTGTCAGAACATCTCTTTAAGGCCTTTTTTACCCCATCAAACAATGGCTTATTGTATGGCAGCAATAGGGTGAAATTCATACCTCTTCTGTGGAAAGACCAAAACTGTTTGGGATGACCTGTCTGTATTTGAACCTGCAAGGTGTGTCTCCTATAATGTCTTCATAATCCAGCTTGTAATATTCATCAAAATACTCCTCAAAAGTCTTGTCACCTATTGGGAAAACGTGAGCAATATCTTAACAAAAGTTTCAGAATCGGATTTACCTAAAATAAAAAATGTGCATTATGCATAGATATAAAATGCTTAGGATGATCCATATAGTCTAATAGAAATATTATTTTTCAAACTGATTAAGCCTTTTAGTTGTTCATGTTAGCTGCTAAGAAATCTAGGTCTTCCATGAAAGGATAACTCAGAGGCAAATGCAGCCAGAATTCATGTTGCATCTATCATGAGTCTTGCTGATACTGACTGACTCAGCAGGACCCTCTAGAGATGCTAGGGTCACTTGACAAGGTGACAAAGCTTTTCAGATACTGAAAATAAATTGGTGCCTAACTTATATATTTAAAATGTACTGATATAAAAACAAAGCGAGGTTGCCAGGTGGCCAGTATCTTTCTTACTTGGTTCAAACACTGGTTTCTTTTTAAGTACTGCTTCAACAAATTTGGATTTCTTCTTTTTCTTCTTTTTCTCCTTCTGATCTTGACTTGGGTCATAATCTGCATCCATCTGTACAAAGAAAAATATTTCATATAGTTTGTTTCCTTCTTATGAATATAAAAGATTAGGTAATAACTATATAAAGAATTATGTAATCTGTGATGATATGATCTTTTATCCATGAATTTAAGATCTTGTAAAAAACAATTATGGCATTTTGCTATTGGTCAGTATGTAATTTTGAAGACATTTTGGCCTTAACCTCCATTATTCTTTGTGAAACATTGTACAAAAAGGTTTAAACATTTCCCAAAATTATCTAATACTAAAGAAAGTTAATTAAAAGGAGGCAGTTCACCATTGAAATCTGATGTATATGCTCAGAAATCCAGATTTTCCAGAAGATAACTATAGAAGGCAAATACTTTCAAACTTGATGTTGCACCTATCATGTGTCACTTATCATGTGACTGATACAACATGACCTGCTATAGGTAGAAGCACCAGATTATCAATATAATAACAACAACATACTATCGTCACTTTTGACTACTTACAATGAAGTCTGCATCTTCACAGTGTGGTTCTGTGTAACTGCCTTCTCCTTCATGCTCTTCCTGGTATCCACTCCAGTCATCATAACTCTCTAAAATGCCAAAATTACACTCAGATGATACCAATATCTTTGTGTATGATACAGTACTTGCATGAGTGCAGATACAGTATTTGTCAATCAGCTGTACATTAAGAAGTACACACAGCACTTGTTAACAGGTACAAATCAGTAGGAAATGCCGAAACAAACAGCAATAATAATAATTATAGTAAACATACTGGTATATACAAAAGTCAAACCTAGTGTGACAAGAACTTCAAGTCTCCAAAAAAAAAGACTGAAACACCTGAAAAAATACACCAGGCAGCATATGGGAGATCCCCTGATGTGAATACAATGTATTTACGAGAGAACCACCTTATGAATTCACAGTTCCCTGACCTAAGAAACAGAAGTAAGATGGTGATAAACTATTGAAAAAACTCTTAAAATTGGAAAGGCATCCAGTAATTATAAATTTAATGGCATATACAATCAACTTACCCTCATACTGAAGCTTTTAAGATATTTCTTAATAATTAAATTTTAAATGGGTATTAAAACGAAAAAGTGGGTTACTTGCCTTCCACTCCTAGATCTTCTTCAAATAAAAACTCCGGTTTCGTCTCTTCTTCTTCCCCTCCATAATAATCTTGATCAAAAACTTGCTTTAACAAGAGATAAGAATTAACATTTGACTGCCAATATCAAAATCATATTTCTTTAAATGTTTACATCTGCTAAGAAATACATTTATTCTGTGCAATGCATGTGGTGTATACTTATTAATCAAAACATAATTTATTTTAATCATTACAGAAAGTGAGAATACAAAACAAATATTAAACCTGCAGCTATAGCATCATCAAATAAATGAAAACCTTAAAGAAAGTTTTGTGTCTGTGCACGTCTGCATCTCACCTGCATCATCTTATCATACTCTGCTGGGTCAAAATCTGCCTCTATGTCCTTTTCACTGAAACCAACACTGGAATTCCCTGTGATCTCCTTCAGTTTCTCCAGCTTGTTCAAAATCTCTTGCTTCTTTAAGTTTTTTAGTTGCTTGATTTCTTCTTTTTTCCTATTTTTTTCCTTAAGAAGACAAGTTCAAATATGATTTCATATTTCAGCAAAAATTTCAATAATTATGCATTCATGTTTTAAAAGAACAACAGACAAAGATGTAAAAAAATCTTACTTGTTCTTTCCTTTCTTTTAGCTCTTTTCTTTTCTTTGTCCTCTTTTCATCTTTTCTCCTCACGGATGCTTCAATGGTTCTTGGATAGCTTTTGATCTAAAATTAGAATTAATAAAATTAATACAAACAGGAATTAAATTTATTTCAAATATCAACGGTCACACAAAGTCATGTTACACACTAATACTACAGTCACTTAAATATATATATGACAAAACCAAATACAACATACTAGTTCAGCATCAGGTTCCTCAAATCTGAAATTGTATTTCCTTTCAAACTCCTCTTGCTTTTCCAATTCCTTTTCTTCCTCATCAAAATCGTTTTCATCCTCATTCACAATCTCATGGTACATTGGGATCCTGACAAAGAAGAAAGCTAGTTGTTCTTAATTATCCAATGGCGTTTATTTCACATCACAAATGACTGATTCAAATTACTTGAAAAAGAAACGCATCTACCTACTTCTGGATTTGGAGGTAGTCATATTCTTGTATTGAGCACCAAGAATATCATAAGCATTGGTTATAAGCACCAAAATGAACATTAAATCATTATCACTCATACTTTTTACCCAGACCACTCACATATCTGAGTTTTAATGCTATTTTCTACATTGTGAAAAAAAAATGCTGTACCTGTCTTCATCATCTTTGTCAATGTACTTCTTGTTGAGGATGTAATCTCGAAGGAATTTTTCTCCTTCATCTAAATCAGGCTTGTTCCAGTACTTCTTCAATGAAGACTAAAAAAAATAATTTCAAATGATAAAAAAAATCCTACTGCATAATTTATTTAAACCCATTTAAACACATTTTACTTACAGCAATAATCCTTACAGAGCTA